CTGAAACTGGCTCTCCAACATCCCCTGAGGGGTTCTGGATTACAAGAGGGCACAGGCCAGGCTGAGGGACCCCACTGGTGCATGATCGGGGCCTAGGAGGGACCACGGGAGGGCTCCAGGGAGTGTATGGCCCCTTTTGCCCAGTCCCCATCAGCTAGACCCCAGCAGCAAGCTAACCTACTGGTTGGAGTGCCTGCCCCTGGTGGTCAGTGCGCATCATAGTGACTGGTCAAACGGTCGATCAGATGGTCGGACACTTAGCATATTAGACTTTTATATATATAGATTATATATATAGATCTTTCCTATCATAAAAGAGGATAGATTGAGTGCTCAGACTCCTGACAAGAGTTGGAGCAATAAAGCTCCACAGATCAAGAAAACACTCAGAGTTACAGGACTGCCCAGATGAGGAACTGCTCATACTGATCACACAAACCTTTTGTTATTTGAGCTTCAAGTGTTTTATTTACTCTACCAGGAAGGTGGAGTTTTAGGCCTCCCATGGTATTTTCTTCTCTATTTATGCAACATGTTTAAGTGATATGGTATTCTTTATATAAAAATATTGTTTAACTTGTAATTCCTGCATAGGCAAAAACCTTCCCTCCTTATTAATATCTAGTGAAGAGTCATATAAATACAGATGCCATTCACCTAGAAAACAGGCGTTCCTCTCAAGCCAGAAATTGGAATTGAGAAGAAAATACTAGATTAGACACTACGTGAGAAATCTGTATCTCTGTTTATAATAATGTGGATGTAAACTTGTCTAGTGGGATTAGGATAATTTCTTTCACATGGAACCATATGGAACCTGGGGAATAAGAGACACAAACTAATGTCACATACTAGTAAAATTGTGCCATTTCCTTCGAATTAGAGGGTAGATAGGTCAGGTAGCAGGAAGAATAAGAATAAGAATAAGAATAAGAATAAGAATAAGAATAAGAATAAGAATAAGAGGGATTTTCAGCCTGGCAACCAAATAGCTACACACATTATAAGTCAGGTTGTACTTAAGCTTTGTGGAGTATTAATTTCCATTTATCATTTTTCTTATTTTTCAGTATTTGGCATCAATCTGAGATAAGAATGAACCAAAGTAAGTTGATAATAAGCAGGCTTTCACCTGAGCATTAAAAGAGGATCAACACTCCTTTGGCAGCCAGCATGGTAGGAACAGCCATACAAATGGGACAACCACATAGGAAGGTGAGTTTAGGATTTAGGGAAAAATAGCTGTTAAGTTAGACATCCTTCCACTGGGTGCTTTCTGACAGAGCTGTCTGTATACATCTGGGATTTTGTTAGATGACTGAAGATAGAGAGATACATACATTATATGACTGATTTGACTGAGCACTTTCAAATCTCAGAATTTACTATAAGGATTCATGAACAAATAAAAAAACAAAAACACAATAGTGTGCAGCTATTCAAAGCATGCTTCAGAGAGATATTTCGACATGGGAAATAGTTCCTGGTGTGTTTCTAAATGAAAGAAGTAGATAAACTAGCAACACTGTTTGATATGCATATATTTAAATTCATGATATATATGAAAATGAATGTACAATAAAAAGGTGTAACTTTATATACAAATTATTAACAATGAACACTTTTGGCTTTTTTCAGAGTATTATCTTTTTAGTTTTCAATAGGGTTTCATACTGTTTTTCTAAGAAGCTTTTGAAAGTTGCTGTCAAACCCTCACATCAGGTAAGAACCACCTTATTCACACAATGAACCATATTTTTACAACTTTAATCTCTAAAGTTAAAATGTTCAAGAGCCTGATTTTCTAAATATAAATAAAAAAGAATAATATAACCTTGATGATTAATGAGTTAGTTACAATTATATATTTTGCCTAAAAATAAACCACTATATAAAATTAAGACCATTTTCTTCAATGCTAATAATGTTAATTTAGAGAAATAGATTAGATTTCATTAAAGGGAAGTCAGTTAAGCTGTGTTTTATTTTTATAAACATAAGAATTTGTTATCCCAGTAGCAACTTGTATTCCTTGTCAAATTATATGCTTGTTCTTTTAAAAGAGGACATCAGAAATATGGCAGAAATCATGACAAAAGTATAAATTATTAAAATACAGATATTGTTTTATAAATATGACTCTTCAGTGAAGTAATAAGATTTTTTACTAAAGATATCTCTTTGGAGAAATGGCTGTGTCTAAGGCTGAGGAGGGGAATGTATAAGAAAACTGTAAACCATCATATCAGAAGTAAGGGAGTACTCAAAATTATGGAAACATGTTAACAGGACAAAAGGGCAAGCTTAGAGGGTTTATATCTAGAATAATTAAGCATGAATAAATAATAATAATTACAATCTCTTGATAAAAATTTATGAGTCCATACTGATAGAAAGATGACAGATGCAGATGTATAAAGAAATATAGATAATTGATAGATAGGTAGATAGATGATAGAGCCTTCCCTTAAAAGGAAATTGAAAACCAATAAATATAACAACAATAATGGAGTAAGAACACCATGTGTGCAATAATCATTACTAATAACTTAACCAGGCAAGATAATCAACAGGCACTGAAATTAGTGATTAGAAAGCTTTATGAAGAACAGAATATTTGATAGTAATTTTAATGGATGCTCCAGAAATTACATCAGTGAAAAAATGATTTTGTAATGGAGATATTTGGGAGGCACCATCTTCACCAAGTGATGAAAATCAGCATCACCAATAATGGAATAAATGAACATCAAGCACTTACTCATGGAATACAATGAAGAATACTTATTTTTCCTTCAGAAAGTGAATAATCTGAATAAAAATGAGGAGCTTCATACAATTTCAATTTGGGGAACATCCTACTAAAGAACTTCTCTATATTCTTCCAAAATTCAGTGGTCATGACTGGCAAAGACAGACTATTTCAGATGAAAGGAAACTAAAGATAAATGACATTAAGTATAATATGTAATCTTGGATTGGGTCCTGGATGGGGGAGTAGAGAGAGAATAGTGTAGTTTAATGATTCACATCAACATTACATTGTCTGATTTTGATAATTATATTGTGGTTATATTTGTTAATGTCTTTGTTCTTGGTGAAAAAATGAGGAATTTAGGGGTAATGGGCATCATGCCTACACTTTAATCTCAACTGGTTCAGACAAAGTAATAACCATATGTAATAATATAGATAAAAAGAGAATGATAAAGCAAATATTAAAGAAATATTAAAATTCGTTGAATCTGGGTATCTGGGTATAGTGGAGTACTTTGTTGAATCTGGGTATCTGCATATATTGGAGTTCTTTGCATAATTCTTGACCCTTTTCTATAAGTTTAAATTTATTTCATATTAAAAGTTAAAAATAGGTAACCAATTTTTGGGAGTAGGAGAAGCTTTTGAATAGGGACAAGTATATAACTTTTCTCTGAGCTCATTTTGAGATAAATAACTCCAATTTTTGTTGATTATCCAGCTTTGACCTTTTTTATCACTTTTCAATCCTTGAACAGCTGCCATTAAGAAATGGGGGGCAACCAGTCCTGGGTCACAGAGTTCATCCTGGTGGGATTCCAGCTCAGTGCAGAGGTGGAAATGTTCCTATTCTGGATCTTCTCCCTGTTCTATATCTTCAGTCTGTTGGCAAATGGCATGATCTTTGTACTCATCGTTCTGGACCAGAGGCTACACACCCCCATGTACTTCTTTCTCTCACACTTGGCCATCATTGACATGTCCTATGCTTCCAACAATGTCCCCAAGATGCTGGCAAACTTAGTGAACCAGAAGAGAACCATCTCCTTTGCCCCATGCATTGTGCAGACATTTTTGTATTTGGGTCTTGCTGCTACAGAATGCCTGATTTTGGTGGCGATGTCCTATGATCGGTTTGTGGCCATTTGCCACCCCCTCCAGTACACTGTCATTATGAGCTGGAGAGCTTGCACAGCCCTGGTCATCACTTCCTGGTCATGTGGATTTGTCCTGGCTCTGATCCATGCGATTCTCCTTGTAAGGTTGCTCTTCTGTGGGCCCCTGGAAATAAACCACCTCTTCTGTGAGATTCTGTCTGTCCTCAAGCTGGCTTGTGTTGATACATGGATCAACAAAGTGGTTATCTTCTCTGCTTCTGTCTTTGTCTTAGTTGGGCCCCTCTGCTTAATGCTAGTTTCCTATATACGCATCCTCTGGGCCATCCTAAATATCCAGTCAAAGGAGGGACGCAAAAAGGCCTTCTCCACCTGCTCCTCCCACCTCTGTGTGGTCGGACTCTTCTTTGGCATAGCCATGGTGGTTTATATGGTCCCAGAATCCAGTCAACGAGAGGAGAAGGAGAAAATACTGTCCTTGTTTCACAGTCTCTTTAACCCAATGCTGAACCCCCTCATCTACAGCCTGAGGAACGCTCAGGTGAAGGATGCCTTGTATAGAGCACTGCAGATGAGGTCCATGTGAAGGGTAGATAGATGTTCAAGTGCCTTAAGAAATATGTGGTTTGGTGAAGGAAACACTCAGAAAAATGTCCCAATTAGAAGTTTGATATAAAAATAGTAATTGTTCAAATTCTAGCTCTAAAAGTTGGATAAAATCCTACAGAAGAGCATATCTTCTAAAGTTGAAATGGGACAACTAAATTATCAGAATATCTGGTCTTTCTTTAAAAAAATAATGAATTCTCTTCATTTTTTAAGGCCAGGAATATTATATGGAGAGTAAGTTAAATGTAAGAAAATTATATCAATACATTTCTCTGGCTTATGTATTTAGACATATGTGACCTCTTGTCACTTTGTTGTAGCTAGAAACAGTATAGTAAAATTAATACCATAAGAAGAGAACTTCGGAAGTAGACTGAAATTTTAATACAGAAAATATTGCAGAGTTATATGAATTTACCTCACCAATTGTGGGGTGAATGAAATAAGAATCTAAAGAAACTTTAAATTCCTTGATGAAATAATTTAGTAGCAAAGGGAAAAAGTTAGGGAAAACTTTAGTCCAACAAGAAACTATGTAATGAATCCTAAAATATATTAAAGGTTTAAGATTTGGTCAAATGACATATGTAATACTTTAAGCAATAAAAAAAAAGATTTGGTCAAATGAAGGAAATTTATTAGTAAATGTTTAAATGTTCTAGAGGTAAAGGCTTTGAGCATTACTCAAACTTTACATTTATTCTTGGGTTATAATAATTTCTAATAAAGCAAGATTTAATCACCTATTGAAGTTCTTGAAATTTTTTCCCATATTTTTGTGATGTTTGAACCAACTCATCTGAAGATGGTTTTGAGTAGCACAAGACAGCTATAATAGAGCTGAGTAGATAAGGGGTTAAAGGAATGTGGTGGGAGAGGATGCTGGGGAAATTCCCGAAGTATTTCCGTGGGAAATTCCCTGTGGGAATTAGGTCCTCATCCTCAGAAGCCACTTCTGAATCTCCACCATCAGGACATTTTGTGAGGGATGGATTGTATCAATTCAAACTGGAAAAAAAGAACTGGTTGAGTATTCTTCAAAATTCTCTTAGGAAAAGATCCAGTTGCTCTTCATTATTTGAGATTTAGTAAATTTCTCCAGGGGAAGGGTTGAGGAGACAGATGATTGTGTGTCTCCAAATCCTCTCTGGTAGTCCTTCACAGCCAGAGCTCCCTCCCTCCATGACTTCCCAAATGCCTTGTTCATTAGAACAAAGGGGTGGGGAAATGTGCACACTAGTATTTTTGAATGACATTAGTACTTCTTAGTATATACCAGCCTGAGAATTTACATTAACCTAAGCTTTATAGTCTTTCAAGGGAATAGACAGTAATTCCCAGCAGTTTAAAAAGTACTGAATTCATCAAATACTTATAAGCATTAAAAAATGTATGAATTAAAATTATATCTATTATCTTGAGAGATTTAACTCACAATTATCTGGGAATGCATTATTCGTTCTATTGAAACCTTACTGTAAGGCATGTGTGATTCAATGGCATTATATTTATGCAACATGTTTAAGTTATATGGTATTTTTTGTATAAAAGTATTAACTTGTATTTCCCGAATAGGTAGAAACCTTCCCCTCTTATTATATAACTAGAGGCCCGGTGCACAAAATTCATGCCCGGCCTGCACCCTCTCCAATCTGGGACCCCTCAGGGGATGTCTGGTTGCTGGTGTAAACCCAGGGATTGGGCCTAAACTGGCAGTCAGACATCCCTCTCACAATCCAGGACCACTGGCTCCCAACCGCTCGCCTGCCTGCCTGCCTGATTGCCCCTAACCGCTCCCCTGCCAGCCTGATTGACGCCTAGCTGCTTCCCTGCTGGCTGAATCATCCCCAACTGCCCTCCCCTGCCAGCCTGATGGCATCTTGTGGTGGCCATCTTGTGGTGGCCATCTTTTGGTGGCCATCTTTTGTGGCCATCTTGTGGCAGCCATCTTGTGACAGCCATCTTGTGAAGGTCATCTTGTGGTGGCCATCTTGTGATGACATGAGGGCGCAACACCACCTAGGCTTTTATTAGTATAGATTACACATACCATTCACCTAGAAAACAGGAGTTCCTCTCAATCCAGAAACTGGAATTGAGAAGAAAACACTAGATTAGACACTACATGAGAAATCTATATCTCTGTTCTTAATAATGTGGATGTAAACATGTCTAGGAAGGTATTCTGAATAGTGGTGTCAGGATGGTTTCTTTCACAAGAAACAATATGGAACCTGTGGAGTAAGAAACACAAACTAATGTCATATGAAGTTGTGTTAATTCCTTCAAATTAGAGGTTAGATAGCTGGGGTAGCAGGTAGAAAAGAATAAGATTAACAGGGCCTTTCAGGCTGGTAACCAAATAGTCTTCCCTCCTCTTGAATTTTTCGCAAAGTTTGAGGAGGATAGGTGTTAATTCTTCTTAATTACTGTGTATGTAGGCAGCAGAGCTTACTGAATATCTACACCAGTGATGGCGAACCTTTTGAGCTCGGCGTGTCAGCATTTTGAAAAACCCTAACTTAACTCTGGTGCCGTGTCATATATAGAAATTTTTTGATATTTGCAACCATAGTAAAACAAAGACTTATATTTTTGATATTTATTTTATATATTTAAATGCCATTTAACAAAGAAAAATCAACCAAAAAAAATGAGTTCGCGTGTCACCTCTGACAAGCGTGTCATAGGTTCGCCATCACTGCCTTAGACAGTGGTTCTCAACCTTCTGGCCCTTTAAATACAGTTCCTCATGTTGTGACCCCCAACCATAAAATTATTTTCGTTGCTACTTAACAAAGATGGTGGTTAATTTGCATACGTAGGTGCCCAGCAGCCTGGGTCCTGGGAACATCATCAGCACCCAGGTCACTCCGAGGTAGGCCCCATGTGGGCCCTGAGCAGCCTAGGAAGGACCTGAGCCAGGGGGCTCCTGGGCAGGGCCGAGCCTGCGATCGGAGCCAGGGGCGGAGCCGGCGATGGGAAGGAGCTGGGCAGGGGTAGAGCCAGTGATTGGAGGGAGATGGGGGCCCCTACCCAGGCCACGAGGCTTTAGGCCTGGGCAGGGGTGGAGCCAGCGATCAGAGGGAGCTGGGGGGCCTGGGAAGGGTCGGAGCCAGCAATCGGAGGGAGCTGGGGGTCCCCTGCCCAGGCCTAAAGCCTTGGCCGAGCTGGAGATCGGTGTGAACTACAGAGGAAACACCTTTTCTGACCGCTCATTGGCTAAGCTCCCTGTATGCCACTGGTAATACTCTTAGTAACTTGGGTAATAAGAATCCAAAAAGGTGATCTAGGGTTTTTCCACCACACTCCTGGCGAAAAAAACGAAGGTTTGCTGCTGGAGGGCTAAGAAATGTCATATTTTGCCCTAGCTGGTTTGGCTCAGTGGATAATGCCTCGGCCTGCCGACTGCAGGGTCTGGGTTCAATTCTGACCAGGGCATGTACCTAGGTTACAGGCTCCTCCCTGGCTGGGGCCCAGGTCAGGGCTCATGCAAAAGGCAACCAAAGTGTTCATCTCACTTTGATGTTTCTCTCTGTCTTTTCCTTTCTTTTCCACATTCTCTAAAAATCAATGGATTCATATCCTCAGGTGAGGATAAAAAAAAAAAGAAAGAAAGAAAGAAAGAAATGTCATATCCTATGAAAAACACATCTTGAAGATGCCTAAAGAAAGTTGTCATTTTTTCATGGTGAAGGGACTGGAGTCTGTATTGATGAAAACACCTTGGTGGCTGTGGTGACTGGCAGTGGCTGCAGCAGCGGGGTGATGGGGCTGGTGCCTTCCCTTGATCAGCCTGGTCACCTCCCACAAAGGGAGGCCAGACTGTGGCTTAGGCCCGCTCCCCAAGGGAAGCAGGGAGCGGGCCTAAGTCATCAGTAGGACATCCCCTGAGGGCTCCCAGTATGTGAGCGGGAGGGGGCAGGCTGGGCTGAGGGAATCCCCCTTCACCCCCCCCAACCCACCCCAGTGCATGAATCTTCGTGCACCGGGCCCCTAGTAATAATATAATGAGCTTTTATAATAGCTAATATTTTGATCACCCAGTGCTATGCACTATGTATTGATAGTACTTTACATGGAACAGCTCAGTCATAATAACAAAGCCATGAAGGAAGTCCCAATATCAGTCTACCTTATATATGTACACACCAGAAAGTAGCAAATGTCAGACTCTTACCTCATCAGCCTGGCTCCAGAGCCTTCTGTGCTTCCCCCCCACAACATAGTACCTCAGTATCCGTGCTATCAGACAAAGAACAAAGCCAAGTTATCCCAAGGAAGAACGTGCTAAGTGAAGGAGTGTTTCCCCAGAACCTCAGGTGTGGTGAAGAGACCTGATCTATTCTCTGTAAGGCTTGGCAGATCAGAGATTATTGATAAGAGGCTGGTTGCCCTGGACAGTGAATGCTATGGGCAGAGTTGCACAGTTACAGAAGCCCTTTCAAATGCAATCAGATTTGTAGAAATCCAGGAATTCAGGACTGTCTCTCAGTTCTATCTGCGCCATTGTTCCCACAGGGACACTGCCTACATCACTGATGCTTCCCTGAGGTCCGTACTTTCAGAAGTTTTAAGTGTTCCCACCTGTGTCTTCACATTTCCATCTTAGGTTACTTTATTTTCTTGTATACTAACTTTTCAATAAAGCAATTTGTCTGAAAGTTTCTTATACAAATCACTGCAAGGCAGGTATAAGATCTTAATTCATTTAGGTGTTGACATTCTCTCTACAGTTATAATATGGTTCACATCTTTAATCTTATCCAAGCATAGCCTATAGAAACAGTTTTCAAATTATATGAATTATTCATGGCATTTTGAATTTATGGCAATTTTCAAGTGATTACATTCTAACTGTGAACTTTTTTTCTAGTACAGTAGAATTCATTGGGTAGAAACTGATGATAGAAGATGCTTTATATATAGAGAAGCATGAATTCATAAAACTTGAATCATCTTAAGAATTTTTTATAT